CCCCAAAATGGGCAGGAACGGCCCCAAAACCTACGGGAACGGCCCCAAAATGGGCAGGAACGGCCCCAAAACCTACGGGAACGGCCCCAAAATGGGCAGGAACGGCCCCAAAACCAATGGGAATGGTCCCAAAACCTACGGGAATGGCCCCAAAATGGTCCCGGAATGGCCCCAAAATGGTCCTGGAATGGCTCCAAAATGGGTGGGAACGGCCCCAAAATGGGTGGGAACGGCCCCAAAACCTACCGGAATGGTCCTGGAATGGCCCCAAAATGGGCAGGAATGGCCCCAAAACAGTGGGAATGGCCCCAAAACAGTGGGAATGGCCCCAAAATGGTCCTGGAATGGCCCCAAAATGGTCCCGGAATGGCCCCAAAATGGGTGGGAATGGCCCCGAAATGGGCGGGATTGGCCCCAAAATGGGTGGGAACGGCCCCAAAACCTACGGGAATGGCCCCGGAATGGCCCCAAAACGGCCCCGGAATGGTCAAAAAACGGGCAGAAACAGCCCCAAAACCTACAGGAATGGCCCCAAAATGGGCAGGAACGGCCCCAAAACCTATGGGAATGGCCCTGAAATGGTCCCGGAATGGCCCCAAAACGGCCCCGGAATGGTCCAAAAACAGGTGGAAACAATCCCAAAATGTCAGGAACGGCCCCAAAATGGGCATTTTTGGGGCGGAGAAGGAAAAAGGGGAATTCCCGAGGTTTTGGGGAACGGCGGCTCCCGGTGTTCCCACGGTGACGATGACATCGATGACGATGGTGACGTCAGTGATGATGAAGGTGACAGTGACAACGGTGACAATGAGGACAGTGGTGACCAATGATGATGGTGACAATGACAGTGACAATGGGGACAATGAGGAAGATGGCGGTGAAGATGATGATGACCAATGATGACAATGACAGTGACAATGGTGATGGTGACGATGACCAGTGGTGACAATGACAGTGACAACGGTGACAATGATGATGGTGACAAGGACCAGTGGTGACAATGACAGTGACAATGGTGACAATGACCAGTGATAAAGATGGCGGTGAAGATGATAATGACAATGATGGTGACAATGGTGACAATGATGATGGTGACGATGACCAGTGGTGACAATGACAGTGACAATGGTGACAATGGTGACAATGAGCAATGGTGAAGATGATGATGACAACGACGGTGACAATGGTGACAATGATAACGATGGTGACTGTGACGATGATGACAATGACCAGTGATGGTGACAAAGATGATGAAGATGACAGTGCCACCAATGACAGTGATGACGATGACAACGATGACATCGTAACGGTGACGATGTGACAATGACTATGGTGACAATGACGATGATGGCAGAACGATGATGGTGACAATGACCAACAATGGCAGTGACAACAATGGCAATGATGACCATGGATGGTGACGGTGACAATGACAATGACGATGATGACATCAAGGTGATGACATCAAGGTGATGCCAACCAATCACATCAAGTGGTGATGACAACCACGATGATGACATCAAGGTGACGTCAATGACGATGACAATGGTGACAAAAACAGTGACAATGACACCAATGACAACGATGACAACGACAATGACGATGACACTGATGACAAAAACAATGACAATGACACCGATTCAAATGACAAAAACAATGACAATGATGATGACAATGACAATGGCGATGACACCGATGACCCAATGACAATGATGATGACGTCGATGACAAAAACGATGACAATGACAAAAATGATGACAATGATGACAATGACATCAACGATGACAATGATGATGATACCAATGACAAAAATGATGACAACGATGACAATGACACCGATGACAAAAACGATGACAATGACACCAATTACAATGACAAAAACGATGACAACGACGATGACAATGACAATGGCGATGACACCGATGACCCAATGACAATGGTGATGACGTCGATGACAAAAACTATGACAAAAATGATGACAATGATGACAATGACATCAACGATGACAATGATGATGATACCAATGACAAAAATGATGACAATGATGACAATGACACTGATGACACCGCGACAGTGACAACGATGATGACAATGACACCAATGACACCGATGATGACAACGATGACAATGACACAGATGACAACAATGATGGTGACAATGATGATGACAATGACACTGATGACAAAAATGATGACAACGATGACAATGACACCGATGTCAACGATGACGGGTGACAATGATGATGACAACCATGACAAAAATGATGACAACGATGACAATGACACCGATGACACCGCGACGGTGACAATGACAATGACACCAATGACAACAATGATGATGATGACAACGATGACAATGACACCGATGACACCACGACGGTGACAACGATGACGATGACACCGCGACGGTGACGATGATGACAATGACGCCGATGACACCGCAATGGTGACAATAACAATGACACCAATGACAATGATGATGATGATGACAACAATGATGATGATGACAACGATGACAATGACACCTATGACACCGCGACGGTGACAATGATGGTAATGACACCAATGACAACGATGACGGTGACAATGATGATGACAACGATGACAACGACACCGATGACACCGATGACACCGTGATGATGACAATGATGACAAAAATGATGACAACGATGACAATGACACCGATGACACCGCGACGGTGACGATGATGATGACAATGACAACAATGACAACGACACCGATGACACCGTGACGGTGACAATGATGACAGTGACACCGATGACACCACGACAGTGACAACGATGATGACAACGATGACAAAAATGATGACAACGATGACAAAAATGATGACAACGATGACAATGACACCGATGACACCGTGACAGTGACGATGATGATGACAATGACACCGATGACAACAATGACACCGATGACACCGCGACGGTGACAGCGCCAGGCCCCTCCCCCACCCTGTGCATGTTTATTTAACAAATTCCCGCATTTTTCTCCCCAAAAAAACGCCTCCAATCCCAAAACTCCGGGCCGGGCCTGGCGCAGA